TAGACGACTATAGACTAGACTATAGACTAGACTATAGACTAGACTATATATAGACTATAGACTAGACTATAGACTGACTATAGACTAGATATAGACTAGACTAGACTAGACTATACTAGACTATAGACTAGACTATAGACTAGACTAAGAACTAGACTATACTGACTAGACTAGACTAAGACTCTAGACTAGACTATAGACATACTCTAGACTAGACTATAGATAGACATAGACTAGACTATAGGCTAGACTATAGACTAGACTATAGACTAGACTATAGACTAGACTGTAGACTAGACTATAGACTAGACTATAGACTAGACTATAGACTAGACTATAGACTAGACTATAGACTAGACTATAGACTAGATTATAGACTAGACTATAGACTAGACTATAGACTAGACTATAGACTAGACTATAGACTAGACTATAGACTAGACTATAGACTAGACTATAGACTAGACTAATGACTAGATAAGACTAGATATAGACTAGACTAGACTAGACTATAGACTAGACTATAGACTAGACTATAGACTAGACTATAGACTAGACTATAGACTAGATATGGATAGACTATTACTAGACTATAGACTAGACTATATACAGACTATAGATAGACTATAGACTAGACTCTAGACTAGACTCTAGACTAGACTATATAGACTAGACTATAGACTAGACTATAGACTAGACTATACTAGACTATAGACTAGACTATAGACTAGAGATAGCTAGACTAAGACTATAGACTAGACTATATACTAGACTATAGACTAGACTATAGACTAGACTATAGACTAGACTAGACTAGACTAGACTAGACTATAGACTAGACTATAGACTAGACTATAGACTAGACTATAGACTAGACTATAGACTAGACTATAGACTAGACTATAACTAGACTATAGACTAGACTATAGACTAGACTATAGACGAGACTAGACTATAGACTAGACTATAGACTAGACTATAGACTAGACTATAGACTAGACTATAGACTAGACTATAGACTAGACTATAGACTAGACTATAGACTAGACTATAGACTAGACTATAGACTAGGACTATAGACTAGACTATAGACTAGGACTATAGACTAGACTATAGACTAGACTATAGACTAGACTATAGACTAGACTATAGACTAGACTATAGACTAGACTATAGACTAGACTATAGACTAGACTATAGACTAGACTATAGACTAGACTATAGACTAGGACTATAGACTAGACTATAGACTAGACTATAGACTAGACTATAGACTAGACTATAGACTAGACTATGACTAGACTAGACTAGACTATGACTAGACTATAGACTAGACTATAGACTAGACTATAGACTAGACTATAGACTAGACTATAGACTAGACTATAGACTAGACTATAGACTAGACTATAGACTAGACTATAGACTAGACTATAGACTAGACTATAGACTAGACTATAGACTAGACTATAGACTAGACTATAGACTAGACTATAGACTAGACTATAGACTAGACTATAGACTAGACTATAGACTAGACTATAGACTAGACTATAGACTAGACTATAGACTAGACTATAGACTAGACTATAGACTAGACTAGACTAGACTATAGACTAGACTATAGACTAGACTATAGACTAGACTATAGACTAGACTATAGACTAGACTATAGACTAGACTATAGACTAGACTATAGACTAGACTATAGACTAGACTATAGACTAGACTATAGACTAGACTATAGACTAGACTATAGACTAGACTATAGACTAGACTATAGACTAGACTATAGACTAGACTATAGACTAGACTATAGACTAGACTATAGACTAGACTATAGACTAGACTATAGACTAGACTATAGACTAGACTATAGACTAGACTATAGTCTAGTCTATAGTCTAGTCTATAGTCTAGACTAGATTAGATCAGATTAGAGACTAGACTATAGACTGAACGCAGATTAAGATTGTGGCATGGCTATTAATTTCACACCTTTTTGGTCAATTTACCTGCTAATTAATGCATTAAAAAACATTTCGTCCTTCATTATCATAACTCAAATTTGTAAAAATTATATTTTCATTTTTAAATCTTAATCTGCAAGCCTAATTATATGCTTCACTTATTTGTTTAGTTGCCATTAACAGTATGTATATCAAAAATAAGTGATGCTTATCTATGCAATCATGTGTTTATAATTTAAAGTATATTTTCGGGAATTTTACCTTTTTGAAAATAAGTATATATTTACTTATTTAGCATAATTACACTTTTAGACATAAGTAAATTGAAATTTCTAGGAATTTATTGAAATGAAAGGAAAATGAAATGTGTAGAGACAGAATGAACATGATATTAAATGTATTTATTACAGTTGACCCTAAGCTAGACCAAAGTTTATATAAATTTTTTTTTTTGTGAAATGCTGTGTTACTTTATGCCGTTATAAATAAGCCTAAAAGTAGGCAATATAAGTTATTTGCTTAGGTAAAATGTAAATGAATTTATGCTTTTTAAAGCTTGTGAAGTATTAATTTAAATATAAATAAAAGCAATAAGGTAAATAACGAAATATGAAAGCTTTCTGTAGTTTAACTTTTAACAGCTGAAAAATTTCTTAGAAGTACTGTGGTATAAAGCTTATGGACACCAGGTTTGTTGTATAAGATAAAACGATGTTCAATTTAATCAAATTCATTTATACAAATAGAAAATAAGCTAATAATTTGAAGATACACCAAATAAACCAAATTATTTACGCCTGAAAGTAGGCAACATAAATGTTTTTGTAAAAATAAACTTGCTTAATTTAGACAGCTTCTAAAATTTTAGACCAGATTTAATTCCATTAAAAAAAATCCAATTTTTATATAAAATTCGCATTTCACCTTAAATCCCTTAAAGTATGCTTTAATTTGTTTAAATATTTCTCTTTACACAATTATTTAGAAAAATATACATTTTAATTATTTTTCTTTTCTAAATTAATAATAATTTATTTATTTGTTATGACAGCTTAATAATTAGCAAACTTTTTGCTTTTACCAGAAACTAAAACTAATTATTAAAAATTTTATTTAATTAAAATTTTTACACAAATTAAAAGAATTAAATTTTTTGTCCATAAATAAACATCAACAGCAAATTAAACTAATAATAAAAAAAACTAATAATAATAAAAATTATACAATAGCAGAAAAGCACATGGTTTGGTTAAAATTCATACACACTACATAGCAACGCCTAAAAGTATACACATCATTCTTTTGGTCGGTCTTTAATTGTTTAATAACATTTAAGCAATAAAATGTTATTTTTTATATAAATATTTTTATGGTTTACTTTTACCCTATTAATTAATTAACAAATAAACAGAGTATCGTTAAATAATTATGAAAAGTTAATGGAAAATAATGTTAGTAGAACGTAAGGCGTTCAGAAAAACACGTGCCAAAAAAAATAATTTATGTAAATGTTAATGAATTGTCTGAAAATATGTCAGGTTTTTGTTTCGTTGTGTAAGAAATTAATAAAGTTATAAGAAAATTTATAAAAATAATAAAGAAAGCTAAATTAGTTGTGCTAAAAGCAACAGGTAGTTAAATAAGCCCAAAGGTAGGCAACAGATTTTTTAGGTAATAATTTAGTAATCCTAAATTTGAGAAGAAAATGATTAGCATTGCTCAGTTTTATGACTTTTATGACTTTTAAGAAAAGCTTTTACAAGTTTTAATAGAAGCTTTTACAGTTTTTAAGAAATGCTTTAACAGCTTATAAGATAAAATTTCACATATTTTAGGAAACATTCCACAGAGATACTTATACATCTTTAAAGAAAAGCTTCTACAGCTTTTAAGAAAAGTTTTAAAAGCTTTTGATGATTTTAAGAAAAGCTTTTACAGATTTAAGGAAAGTTTAAACAGCTTTCAGAAAAGTTTTTGCAACTTTATAGAGAAGCTTTTGCATCTCTTATGAAAAGCCGTTAAAGCTTTTAATAAAAGCTTTTACAATTTTAAAGAAATGTTTCTAAAACTTTTAAGAAACATTTTTACAGCTTTTAAGAAAAGCTTTCACAGCTTTGAAGACAATTTTGTAATACAAAATTATAGAGCTTTTAGCAAATGTTTGCAGATCTATTTACAAATACTTGAAGTTTTCAAACAATTTAAAATTATACAAAACTTTTAAGTTAAACTTTAAGTTTCTAACAAATTCATTTAAATGTTTTGCAAAGTCTTGTAAAACTTTTAACAAAGCTTCTAAAACTTTTAATTTGTAAAATTTCCAAATCTTTGAAAGCTTTAAACGAAAGCTTATAAACCATATACTAAACTTTACAAAGCTTTCAACAAAAGCTTATACAACTTTTAAGAAAATATGTTTAAGCTGTTTATACAAAATTTCGAACTTCCAAGAAAAGTTTTTAAAAAAGCTTTTCAAACTCTTTAGAAAAAATTTCAAGCTTTCAAGAAAAGTTCTTTAATATTTTAGAAAAAAAATGTCGTGCTTTTAATTAATGTTAAATTAATTCTTTTAAAGAAATCCGAATTTTATGAAGCCATTTCAAAACATAGGCTGCTGCCTATAGTTTAAGACCTAACAGTTAATACGCCTAAAACTAGGCAACAGTTTTTAATTTTATCGCAAAATTAGACAAATACTTATGAGACAAATAACTAAACTGCCAAGGAATTACACAACAACTTTCTATCCTTATAAATCTAAAACACCTAAAAATAGGCAATATTATTGTACAATATGAAACCTAGTTTATAGGCAATGAAATCAAATACTTTTTCATCATTTGCTCTTATATAAACTAACTTTAATAAACAATGAAACAAAAATTTCTCAAGTAGACAGGAAAAAAGAAACGAAAAGCTTTCAAAGCTTTTTGTGAAAACTCTTTTAAGAAACCATTTCATGAAAAATGTTAATTAAATCCCCCAACAGTATGCTCTAATTTGTATGTATTCTCTTGTTTTTAATTACAGATGAATTCTGTGAAGAATATCCGCATAACTTAATGCCCACCCCCGGCTATTGGATTGAGTGTTCGAGACAAAAGATAACTCTGCCGCCCACACACACCATTTGGGATGAAAGCGACTCAGAACATGAGGACATACGAGGTGGCAATAGTAGTGATGCCTATTTGGAACGTGAATGCAGTGACCTATATGAGGATGATGAAGATTCTGAGGCCACACCCAGGTATGTTAAAGGGTAGAATAAGTTATGTCCAGTTAAGTTCTTTTTGGTTTTTTTCGTTCTTTTGAGTTGAGTTTTTTGATTTTCAATATTTATGGTTCAGCGTCATAAATTACGTTTATTTAAAACATTATTGCTTCCCTTCTCCTTGCCACCACCACATTTCATGTTCATATCATTCCCATGTGCCATTTCCACCTCGCTCTCCACTGTTCACTGTGTGTGTGTATTTTGTTTCGTTGGGTTTTGGTTATGTTGCTGTTCCCCTGTTGTTGTATTTTTATGCGAATGTTTAAGTCCTAGGAAAAAGACGACGATCGAGGAACAATGGGAACAAAATGGCGCCTTCGAGCTGATCTCCGTGGAACAGGAAACGTATGAGAAATATTTCTTTGGCTGCGAACATTGGAATTACTTTACCAGCGATGAAGATTTGGGTCCGGTGATATTGTCCATTAAACAGGAAACCCTAAATGGACGTGATCAGTTTAGAATATTGGTGCGAGCCGGTTCCTATACAGTACATGGTCTAATACCCGCCTCTTGTGTATTTGCTGATAGGTATGTTATCCTTAAGGATAAACAAAGAATTTTGATTTATATTTTTTTTTTTTAAATTGCAGATATAACCGCGAGGAAGTGGTTAGATCTTTGGGCAAAGAAGTTAATTTAAATCCTCCCCTGACATTGGGCCAATTGCCTGATACTCCTGAGGAGCTGCTGAAATTAGATCAAGTGGGTTTTTGTCTCTTTGTTTTGAAAAATTTGTATATTTTTTTCTTTAATCTCTTTTTTAGGTTTTTATTAAATCTGAACTAAAAGTTGGTGTTATATATGTTAAAGAGGATCAATATACGGAAGAGCAAATTTTAGACAATAATGAAAATTCTCTGCTCTTCGATGAGTTCTTAACCCTTTTAGGAGATCGTGTACGATTAAAGGGTTTCGATAAATACAAAGGTGGCCTTGATACAGTACATGACTTGACCGGTTAGTACTTCAACCTGAATAACTAAAGAAAGCTTTAAGTTAAAAGCTTTTACCATAATTTTTTGCATTTTCCCTTTCCAGGTCTGTACTCTGTTTATACAAATTGGCGTAATATTGAGATAATGTTTCATGTCTCAACATTATTGCCTTACGAACGTCATGATCCTCAAAAGCTTCAACGGAAACGTCACATTGGCAATGATATTGTTTGTGTGGTGTTTCTGGAGGCTGATAATACCCGCTTTAGTCCTGCCTGCATAAAGAGTCATTTTCTGCATACGTTTATATTGGTACGTACAAAACTTTAATTAAAAGCTTTTTTAAGCTTTAGAAAAAAAGAAAAAAGCTTTATAAGCTTTCATGTTTTCTTAAAAGCTTTTTGAGCCTTGCTAAAAGCTTTATAATCTTTTCTTAAAAACTTTCCAAATTTTTGTTAAAAGCTTTTGTTAAAGTTTTAAGTTTTTGTTAAACGTTTGTTAAAAGCGTTTTAAACGTTTGTTAAAAACTTTTAAGCTTTTGTTGAAAGTTTTATAAACTTCTGTTAAGAGCTTTTTAAACTTTTGTTAAAAGCTTTGCAAGCTTTTATTACAAACTTTATAAGCTTTTATTAGAAACTTTATAAGCTTTTATTAGAAGCTATATACGTTTTTTTCAAAGCTTTAAAAGTAAATATTTTGTTAAAAGCTTTCTAAGCTTCAGCTGAAAATTTTTATAAAAAGCTCTACAAATTGAATATAATCATTAGAAACGATTTTCAAATTTATTTTTATTTTTTCTCTCAGGTGCGAGTCTCTGCTCGAATAAAACACAAACCCACCCGCTATGAAGTGTCGGTAGTGACACGAGACGAAGTGGGTGCCTACAAACCCTATTTGTGGGAACAATCGGTATTCGAAAAGGGACCCATGTTTAGGTAAGGACTTCACATCAACAGCTACATAGTTAATGGAAATTTTAAACCATAACTCTCTCTCTTCATTTTCTTTCCACAGAGAATGGCTTTTAACGAAAATTGTCAATGGCGAACGTGCCTCATATTCGGCACCAAAATTTGCCCGCATGCAGGAACGTACCCGCTCACAAATGCTCGAAGATTTGGTAATGAATTTATCGAATCATGCTGAGACTGGCCAAATACCAAAACCCTATCGACGCGGCTCATGGCGACCAATTGGTGAGGAAGAATATAGAAAAATGTTGCATGCAAGAGTTTTAGCCAATAATGCGCCAATCACACCTCTCTCGTCATCGATGGACGTTGATGTGTGCTGTGTGCTACTGTGTGTTAAGCATAGTATGTAGTTTCTTTTGGGAGTGAGACCCACTTTTTTTTCTCTCTCTCTACTTCTTCTACTCTCTATAACTACTACTTTCGCTATTACATCTACTACTATTTTTTAGAGATTTTAACTATTTACTTAATGAAAACCCCAAAATAATTGGCAGCTTAGTAACTTTCCTCAAAAAAAAATCCAACGCTTAAGCAAAAAGAGTAAAAAGCTTGTTTGTTAAAACCTTACCCTTAAGCACATTTTTTTAGCTTAAAAGTACACTGATTTAAAATGTTAATAAGTTATTTTCTTTATACCCTTCACCATGGTGAGAAGAAGCAAAAACATCATGTTACGAATGTGGTAGAACCAAGAGTGAATGCGAACCTATAAAACCTATTTTATGACTCTGATCTCCTACAGGCTCTACATGCTTAATTTCTAAATATTATAGAAAATTCAAAAAGTACAAAGAATGAAAAAGTACCAAACGCTTCCATTTTATAGGTTCTACCCTAGTCTATGGTCTAGTCTATAGTCTAGTCTATAGTCTAGTCTATAGCCTAGTCTATAGTCTAGTCTATAGTCTAGTCTATAGTCTAGTCTATAGTCTAGTCTATAGTCTAGTCTATAGTCTAGTCTATAGTCTAGTCTATAGTCTAGTCTATAGTCTAGTCTATAGTCTAGTCTATAGTCTAGTCTATAGTCTAGTCTATAGTCTAGTCTATAGTCTAGTCTATAGTCTAGTCTATAGTCTAGTCTATAGTCTAGTCTATAGTCTAGTCTATAGTCTAGTCTATAGTCTAGTCTATAGTCTAGTCTATAGTCTAGTCTATAGTCTAGTCTATAGTCTAGTCTATAGTCTAGTCTATAGTCTAGTCTATAGTCTAGTCTTTCTAGTCTATAGTCTAGTCTATAGTCTAGTCTATAGTCTAGTCTATAGTCTAGTCTATAGTCTAGTCTATAGTCTAGTCTATAGTCTAGTCTATAGTCTAGTCTATAGTCTAGTCTATAGTCTAGTCTATAGTCTAGTCTATAGTCTAGTCTATAGTCTAGTCTATAGTCTAGTCTATAGTCTAGTCTATAGTCTAGTCTATAGTCTAGTCTATAGTCTAGTCTATAGTCTAGTCTATAGTCTAGTCTATAGTCTAGTCTATAGTCTAGTCTATAGTCTAGTCTATAGTCTAGTCTATAGTCTAGTCTATAGTCTAGTCTATAGTCTAGTCTATAGTCTAGTCTATAGTCTAGTCTATAGTCTAGTCTATAGTCTAGTCTATAGTCTAGTCTATAGTCTAGTCTATAGTCTAGTCTATAGTCTAGTCTATAGTCTAGTCTATAGTCTAGTCTATAGTCTAGTCTATAGTCTAGTCTATAGTCTAGTCTATAGTCTAGTCTATAGTCTAGTCTATAGTCTAGTCTATAGTCTAGTCTATAGTCTAGTTTATAGTCTAGTCTATAGTCTAGTCTATAGTCTAGTCTATAGTCTAGTCTATAGTCTAGTCTATAGTCTAGTCTATAGTCTAGTCTATAGTCTAGTCTAGTCTATAGTCTAGTCTATAGTCTAGTCTATAGTCTAGTCTATAGTCTAGTCTATAGTCTAGTCTATAGTCTAGTCTATAGTCTAGTCTATAGTCTAGTCTATAGTCTAGTCTAGTAGTCTATAGTCTAGTCTATAGTCTAGTCTATAGTCTAGTCTATAGTCTAGTCTATAGTCTAGTCTATAGTCTAGTCTATAGTCTAGTCTATAGTCTAGTCTATAGTCTAGTCTATAGTCTAGTCTATAGTCTAGTCTATAGTCTAGTCTATAGTCTAGTCTATAGTCTAGTCTATAGTCTAGTCTATAGTCTAGTCTATAGTCTAGTCTATAGTCTAGTCTATAGTCTAGTCTATAGTCTAGTCTATAGCCTAGTCTATAGTCTAGTCTATAGCCTAGTCTATAGTCTAGTCTATAGTCTAGTCTATAGTCTAGTCTATAGTCTAGTCTATAGTCTAGTCTATAGTCTAGTCTATAGTCTAGTCTATAGTCTAGTCTATAGTCTAGTCTATAGTCTAGTCTATAGTCTAGTCTATAGTCTAGTCTAGTAGTCTATAGTCTAGTCTATAGTCTAGTCTACTAGTCTAGTCTACAGTCTAGTCTATAGTCTAGTCTATAGTCTAGTCTATAGTCTAGTCTATAGTCTAGTCTATAGTCTAGTCTATAGTCTAGTCTATAGTTCAGTCTATAGTCTAGTCTATAGTCTAGTCTATATTCTAGTCTATAGTCTAGTCTATAGTCTAGTCTATAGTCCAGTCTATAGTCTAGTATATAGTCTAGTCTATAGTCTAGTCTATAGTCTAGTCTATAGTCTAGTCTACAGTCTAGTCTATAGTCTAGTCTATAATCTAGTCTATAGTCCAGTCTATAGTCCAGTCTATAGTCTAGTCTATAGTCTAGTCTATAGTCTAGCCTATAGTCTAGTCTATAGTCTAGTCTATAGTCTAGTCTATAGTCTAGTCTATAGTCTAGTCTATAGTCTAGTCTATAGTCTAGTCTATAGTATACTCTATAATTTACTCTATAGTCTAGTTTATAGTCCAGTCTATAGTCTAGTCAATGATCTAGTCTATGGTCTAGTCTAGTTTTTTATATTCAGATCTTATATACATATGTATACTAATTAGAAAAAAACACTTACCTTTGAGATTTCCCATGTCTGTATATTTAAATTTTATTAAGATTTTTTTAATGCCGTACCGATTACCCGTTTAAAATATCACTGATTTACATATTGACAACTCTTATTACTGAACAAACAAAATAGAGAGAACAATTACATAAATTAAAACAAAAAACAAACTTTACTCTCACTTTATTACTCTGCTTTTATCACTGAGTGATTTTTTTTAATTTCTTTTTCACACATTTATTCACTAAAAATTGCATTCAAAAAACAACCACAATAATAGATCTTCATATGTAAAGGACAACAATAAGAAAATAACTTGATACCTATGAAAGCAATAAAAACTCTTAGGAATTCTTCAGATAATTTACTTTATTTAATGTATTTTTTTAATTTTAGAAAATATTACACTATTTATTAACTTTTTTTGATTTTTCATGAAATTACACTATTGGGATTATTATTTTATTAAATTTATATATTTTAACACACTTTTTTATAATTAAATTTATTTTTTAAGACGAGCGTATCAATTAAGCGACCGACTTTTATAATTGCGACAAGAGAACTAAATTGATCATTAAATTGACAGTTTCTTGGTGCATGCTTGGACAAACATAATTAACAACAACAACAAAACACAGTTTCTTATGGTAGATATTGTTCTTGTACTTAGTTTGTTTATAAAAGCAAAACAGAGCAAGCACGAGCCGTTATGAATGAAGCTATGTTTTGTTATTGTCTAGAGACCAGGGATGGAAAATTTAAATTTTGAAATAGTACTAGAATATAGAACAGACTATTGACTAGACTATAGACTAGACTATAGACAAGACTATAGACTAGACTATAGACTAGACTATAGACTAGACTATAGACTAGACTATAGACTAGACTATAGACTAGACTATAGACTAGACTATAGACTAGACTAGACTATTGACTAGACTCTAGACTAGACTATAGACTAGACTACAGCCTAGACTATAGACTAGATTATAGACTAGACTATGGAGTAGACCATAGACTAATCCATAGACTAGACTATAGACTAGACTATAGACTAGACTATAGACTAGACTATAGACTAGACTATAGACTAGACTATAGACTAGACTATAGACTAGACTATAGACTAGACTATAGACTAGACTATAGACTAGACTATAGACTAGACTATAGACTAGACTATAGACTAGACTATAGACTAGACTATAGACTAGACTATAGACTAGACTATAGACTAGACTATAGACTAGACTATAGACTAGACTATAGACTAGACTATAGACTAGACTATAAACTGGACTATAAACTAGACTATAGACTAGAATATAGACTAGGCTATAGACTAGGACTATAGACTAGACTATAGACTAGACTATAGACTAGACTATAGACTAGACTATAGACTAGACTATAGACTAGACTATAGACTAGATTATAGACTAGACTATAGACTAGACTAGACTATAGAATAGACTATAGACTGGTCTATAGACTAGACTATAGACTAGACTACAGACTAGACTATAGACTAGACTACAGACTAGACTATAGACTAGACTACAGACTATACTATAGACTAGACTATAGACTAGACTACAGACTAGTCTATAGACTAGACTATAGACTAAACTATAGAGTAGACTATAGACTAGACTATAGACTAGACTATAGACTAGACTATAGACTAGACTATAGACTAGACTATAGACTAAACTATAGACAAGACTATAGACTAGACTATAGACTAGACTATAGACTAGAATATAGACTAGACTATAGACTAGACTATAGACTAGAATATAGACTAGACTATGGACAAGACTATAGACTAAACTATATACTAGACTATGGACTAAAGACTAGACTATAGACTAGACTATAGACTAGACTATAGACTAGACTATAGACTAGACTATAGACTAGACTATAGACTAGACTATAGACTATAGCCTAGAACAATGGGAGAATAACACACACCTTTGAAACAATAACAACACTTTAGAAATTCTTCAAATAATTTACTTTATTTAATGAAATTTTTTAACTTTGAAAATTATTATATTTTTTACTAACTTTTTTGATTTTTCATGAAATTGCACTAATAGGATTATTAATTTATTAATATTACATAGATTAACACACTTTATTTTAATTAAATTTATTTTTTAAGACGAGAGTTTAAATTGTACGACCGACTTTTATAATTGCGACAAGAGAACTAAATTGATAATTAAATTGGCAGTCAGTTTTTTGGTGCATGCATAAACAAATATAATTGACAACAACAACTATACACAGCTTCATATGTTAAATTTTGTTCTTGCACTTTTGTCCATAAAAACAAAACAGAG